TGAACTGTGGTGTTGGAGAAGACTCTTGAGAGTCCCTTGGACTGCAAGAAGGTCCAACCGGTCCATCCTAAAGGAGATCAGTCCTGGGTGTTCATTGGAAGGACTGATGCTGAAGCTGAAACTCCAGTACTGTGGCCACTTCATGCAAAGGGCTGACTCATTGGAAAAGACCCTGATGCTGGGAAAGATTGCGGGCAGGAGGAGAAGGGGACGACAGAGGATGAGATGGCTGGATGGTGTCACCGACTCGATGCACATGAGTTTGGGTAAACTCCAGGAGTTGGTGATGGACAGGGAGGCCTGGCGTGCTGTGATTCATGGGGTCGCAAAGAGTCGGACACGACTGAGCGAATGAACTGAACTGAACTGAACTGAATGTATATATGCCAATCCTACTATCCCAATTTGTCTAGCCCTCTCCTTCCCCACCCCCTGACATGTCCACAGGTCTATTCTGTCTGTGTCTCTGTTCCTGCCCTGCAAATGGGCTCATCTGTACTATTTCTCTAGATTCCATATATATGTGCTGGGGGCTTCCCAGGTGGTACAGTGGTAAAGAATCTATCTGCTGATGCAGAAGATGCAGGAGACTTGGGTTCAATCCCTGGGGTGGAAAGATCTCCTGGAGAAGGAAATGGCAACCCATTCCAGTATTCTTGCCTGGAAAATTCCATGGACAGAGGAACCTTGCAGGCTAGAGTCCATGGGGTCTCAAATAGCTGAACATGACTGAGCATGCATGTACACACACATGTGTGTGTTAATATATGATACTTATTTTTCTCTTTCTGATTTACTTCACTCTGTATGACAGACTCTAGGTCCATCCACATCACTACAAATGACCCAATTTCACTCCTTTTGATGGCTGAGTAATATTCCATTGTATATTACTTCTTCAATGTACAGATCTTACTTATCCACTCATCTGTCTATGGACACTTAGGTTGCTTCCATGTCCTAGGTATTGTAAATAGTGCTGCAGCTGCAGTGAACATTGGGGTATGGGTGTCTTTTTGAATTATGGTTTTCTTAAGGTTTATGCGTAGTTGTGGAATTGCTGGATCATAGAGTAGCTCTATTTTTAGTTTTTTAAGGAATCTCTATGCTGTTCTCCATAGTGGCTGAACCAATTTGCATTCCCATCAACAGTGCAAGAGGGTTCCCTATTCTCCACACCCTTGCCAATACTCGTTATTTCCAGTGAAAATGTTAGTTGCTTAGTCATGTCCAACTCTTTTCCACCCCATGGACTGTGGCCCACCAGGCTCCTCTGTCCATGTAATTCTCCAGGCAAGAATACTGGAGTGGGTAACCATTCTCTTCTCCAGGGGATCTTCCTGATCCAAAGATGGGACTGAACCCAGGTCTCCTGCACTGCAGGTGGATTCTTTACTTTCTGAGCCAGCAGGAAGCCCTATTCCAGTTTTTTAGATAATAGCCATTCTAGCAGATGTGAGGTAATACCTCATTGTGTTTTTTCAAATTGAAGTGTAGCCGATGTACAATATTACGTAAGTCACAGGTGAACAATAGTAATTCACAGTTTTTGAAGGTTACACTCCATTTATGTGCTTAGTAGCTCAGTCGTGTCCTACTCTTTGTGACCCTATGGACTGTGGCCCACTAGGCTCCTCTTCCCATTTCTTTTTCTCCAAAAAATGAGATGAATTAGAAAACATAAACTTGGTAGCAAATTCAGCCTTGTTTATGCTGAGATTTTGTTTCTGTGTGACAAATTATTTATTTCACTATAGTCCTTTTGTAGAAGGGTAGTTTATCCTTGACTGAATTCTATACAGTCAAGAACACTAGATCAGATAGCCTATCCATTCTCCAGGTAAACTTCCCGATCCAGGAATCCAACTGGGGTCTCCGGAACTGCAGTTGGGTTCTTTACCAGCTGAGCTACAAGGGAAGCCCACAATCTATTTATAGTTATACAAAATACTGGCTATATTCCTTGTAGAAGATGTCCTTGTAGCTCATTTGATACATAAATTTGTAGATACATAAATTTGTAGCTCTCCCAACCCCTAAATTGCCCTTCCCCCTTCCCTCTCTCCACTGGTAACCACTAGTTGGTTCTCTTTCTTGTTATAGTCACTAGTTTGCTGTATTTTTCAGAAGCCAGTAAGTGATACCATACAATATTTCTCAAGATAATGGTAATTTATTAATCCAACATTAATAAGGCATTAAAAAGAATAGTAAACTACCCTTCCTATTTTTTCGAATCATAAAATGTTTGCATTTTTGAAACTATGAGAACAGAAACAGAAATAAAGAAGAAAACAGTTGTCTATGTTCTTAAAGCCCAAAGAAGGTAACTACTACTAACATATTGGTGTCTGTCCTCTTAACAAGAGATAATGAGTTTTAATTTGCTTTCACTGGTTTGCTGTATTTGTATTTTTTCAGAGTCACAATCTAAAAATCTTAAATCAGTGAGTGACTCTGAGGCATTCTGTGATCCTTAGTGGCTTTTTAACCGAGGGATAATTAAACCTTGAAAGCAGATGAGAAATAAGAGAAGTTCTGGGTGGGAGATTTGTAACCTAGAGAAGTCCCGTAAGTATTTAAGGAAGAAGCCTACCTCTAAAAACCTTGTGTTTTCAGTAAGAGCTTTTAACTTTTATCAACTTTTGGGGATGATTTCTTTAGAAAGATTTTCACTTTCAACAAAAAAAGAGATGAATTAGAAAACACAGTCTCTCTCAGCTTTAAACCAAATTTGGTAGCAAATTCAGCTGAGATTTTGTTTCTGTGTGACAAATTATTTATTTCACTATAGTCCTTTTGTGGAAGGAGAGTTTATCTACACATCGATATGGCATGCTGTGTCTCAATTGAAAAGAAGGGAGAAAATAGGCGAAAAGAAAAAAGAGAGGTAGTAAGAAAAAAAGAAGAAAACCAGAGATCAGAGAATGAACACTTGGCTCAGCCTTTAATCAGCAAAAGCGGAAAGGAAACGTGATGTATCCTGAGAACTAGTGTCCAGTCAAGGAGAAACTCTGCCCTGGGGCCACCGAGCTATTTCTGATACTGAGGTGAGAATGGGATTTCTCTCGTGGGATGCAAACTGGCGCTGTGATCAGGGACCACAACCTCCACAGCATCCCTGAAGAAGGTAGAATTATGTGCCTGCCTGCAGCCCTCCCAGTGCTCATCGTGTGTGCCAGGGCTGGGCAGGGACAGTCCTGGGGCAGTTCTTGCAAATGGTCCCCATTAGATGTATCTGGAGCTGCCTCAGGGTCTCCCTACCAGGGAGGTGGTGCTACATCTTCCTTGGGAGATGGGAGATGCTTCAGGATAGAAGTTACAGAAGGCAACACTGTTGGCTTTCCTGAGGGTGTCCCGGTGTCTTTGTGAGGAGCTCCAGGCTCAATCTGGCCCCTTTGTATAAGAAAGAGCCTCTGAGGAAAAAAAAAAAAGAAAGAGCCTCTGAATTGTGCTATCACTTTCAGGGATAATGTTTGCTGCTGCCTCTGCACATCCTTGATGCATGACAGGCTTTAAAAATGTCACAGGATTCTAACTCCCTCTACTGATTCTGGGTTTCAACTAGGACATATCCCATGTATGGTTTTGTTTAGTATGTTGAGTTTGAGGACTTCTGTATATTTTCTAGATGTCAGCCAAAAGCCATCATGCTGAGAGATCTTTGCTATCTATGGAGTTGGAGGATTAAAATCCAAGAGTCATTTTATTTATTTTTAATTGAAATTTAGTTAATTTGCAGTGTTTTAATTTCTGCTGCATAGCAAAGTGATTTAGTTATACATATATATATATACACACACATATACATTCTTTTTCTTTTAATATTCTTTTCCATTAGGATTTATCACCAAGTATTGAATATAATTCTCTGTGCTCTACAGTAGGGCCTTGTTGTTTGTCCATCCTATGTATAATAGTTTGCATCTGCTAACCCCCAAATCCCAATACTTCCCTCCGTAAACTCTCCTCCCCCTTGGAAGGAGAGTTCTCTGTTCTCTGTGAGTCTGTTTCTGTTTCATGGATAAGTTCAATTGTGTCTTATTTTAGATTTCACATCTAAGTGACATCATGAGATATTTGTCCTCTTCTGACTTAAAATGACCCTCTCTAGGTGTATCCACGTTGCTGCAGGTGGAATTGTTTTATTCTCTTCCATGGCCGATCATATTCCACTGTGTATATGCACCACATGTTTATCCATTTATCTGTTGATAGACATTTAAGTTGTTTCTATGTCCTGGCTGTTGTAAATAGTGCCCTGTGAACATGGAGGTATTGGTATCTTTTGGGATTATAGTTTTGTCTGAATATATGCCCAAGAGTGGAATTGATGGATGGTACTTCTATTTGTAATTTTTAAAGAACCTTCATGGTGGCTGCACCCGTTTACATTCCCACCAACAGTGTAGGTAAGTCCCTTTTCTCCACACCTTCCAGGAGCCAATTTATGGGAGGAGGTTAGCCAGGGAGAAACTGCGGTTGCATGTGCCACCCATTTGCACTGTCCTTGTAAATGATGTGACGTGGTACTCGCCTGAATTTTGCAGGGAGATCGGTTAGCTGGGAGGCGCTCCAGGGCGGCCAGGACAGCCTGGGTCTTGGCCTGGCTCTCCCCATGACGCGATCACGGACTCTATGATCAATCCTCAGGTGTGACTGGGAAGTACAGCCAGTAAGACTTCCTATTGATTGGATGGTTTACTGTAGCAGCAGGAAATAGCACTGAGTAGTATTCCTCCTTCCCTCCCCCCCCCTTCTCTAATTTAGTAGGTAAAAAGGTTTGTTTTTAAATAAAAAATTCCCCCACTCTTCAATTCCACGTGACACTCTGCTACCCCTTAGAGTTTCTTATGCTCGAGAGCTGTGTTTCCTGCCAGGTGAACTAGAGCAGGCCGGTTTCAGGTCGTAACACAATTCTCCCAGATTATCGTGAGCTCAGCCCTGAGCTCTCCTAATACTCAGAGACCCATCAGCGGTTACTGCCGCCTTAGTCTCCAATGTGTCCGTGTAGGGGACGAAGCGCCATGCCTCTGGCCCGCAACTGGAGAAGATACTGCTCTATAGGTAATGAACACATCTGCAGCTGTTGAGCAGAGATGTAGCCCACACAGGAGTGGCTCATGGGGTCCCTCCGAGGAGCAGCCAGCTGGTTAGTAGATGGTTAGTCTGTAGTCAGCAATTCTTCATTCTTATGCCTTCTCAGTACTGAGCATGTGTCATTTAGCTTGAAATGAAGCCGAAACAGCCTTGATGATGATATAGGGAATTCTTTTTATTTTTGCAAATGTTAACCAAATATTTTAAAAATATTTGTTGAGAGCCCTGAAATAGCTTTTTTGTAATGCAAATATTTAGATGAAACCTTGAATTATATAGTACTTAGGACAGGTTACATGTGAAAATGATCTAATATTCTGTGGTCTTGGAATAGGTTTCTTTACCCCTCAGCAGGTGAAAGAAATATTATAAGCTCGAAACTTTATGCTTCCAATTGGCAGGAGAGGAAGTAATTTTAATGTTGAGCATTAAAGATCCCCTATTTTTTTTTTTTTTGCTATTTCTTTTAGTTTAAATATCATGGTGAGTTATTGTTAGGTATTTAATTTGCTTTGGCAACAGTGATGGAATGACTGCTGAAGTATAAAAATCCAAAGAACATGAGTTGAACTCTGAGTTTCTGGGCAACTTCTTTTAATTGGTAGTAATTGCAGCTGTTAACTTTGGCCACCTCATGCGAAGAGTTGACTTACTGGAAAAGACCCTGATGCTGGGAGGGATTGGGGGCAGGAGGAGAATGGGACGACAGAGGATGAGATGGTTGGATGGCATCACCGACTCGATGGACGTGTGTTTGAGTAGACTCCAGGAGTTTGAGATGGACAGGGATGCCTGGCGTGCTGCGATTCATGGGGTCGCAAAGAGTCGGAAACGACTGAGCGACTGAACTGAACTGAACTGAACAGCTGTTAGACTGTAGCTGAACAGACTCTAAAGCTGTTTGTCAGGATACTGTGCTTTTTTTTTTTAAGATACAGTGCTTTTGGCAATCAAATGTTTTGATCCCTGCTGCACAGTTAGAACAACAGCATCAGTACCTTGAGTCCAGAAGTGCTGGTCATTTATTCCAGACCTGTGTGATGAGGCGTTGCTGCGCCAGGTACCATGAAGTAGTCGAGGAGCTCTCGTCTCCTCATCCGGTCTGCTATCCTGGCCTCTCTGCTCATTCATTTTTTGCTCCATCCTAACTGTAACTTGGGACTCAGGTTTTTGCAACCTGATGCAAACTATTCTTTCAGACTTACTTTAAGTGTTATTGGATGACCAAGAAAACTGCTATGGTAAACACCCAACACTAAAATTTCATGCTTTGCATATATACATTTTTCAATAATTAGACTGGACTTTTAAAAATTGAGATTATTGACCTATGTAACATGTTAGTTTTGGGTATACAACTTAATGATTTGATATTTGTATGCAGCTAAACCAGATCACCACAGTGAATCTTATTGACATCCGTCACACATAACTAGAAGGTTTTTCCTGGTTGTATTACTACATGTTACAAATGAAACCTACTACTCTCAAGGAGGAGATGAGGAGTTCAGGGTGGTGTGGCTGTAGATGGCTACTCTCTTAGAGACCTAGGACAATGGTGGTTGCCAGGAGCCTGGGGGAAGGGGAGGTAGGGAGTCAGTGTTTAATGGGAACAGAGTTTCAGTTTTGCAAGAGAAAGAGTTCTGAAGGTTGGCTGCACAATGAAGTGAATGCACTTAACATTTCTGTATGCTTAAAGCACATATTTCTTAACCATTTTTACCACAGTTTAAAAAAAATACATGAAATTGTGTGTATCCATCATCACTCAATTTAGCCAGTAGTTTATGGGGTCAATGCTGGAATGGTAACCCAGACTCCCTCCCCATCCCATTCTCCATCCTCACTCATTGAAAATTTTTTTGCTATTTTACGTTTCTCCTTATAAAATACTATATAACTCATTTATTCTCTCTCCCCTACCCCAGATTGTGAGGGCAGACCCTTCTGCCTGTTTTGTTTTCGCTGTAGCTCTCACGTCTGGAAGGGTTCCTGGGGACCAGCCAGGTTCTATTGGTTTCATTGTTCTGCATGTGTTTCTCTAATTTTCCCAGCACCATTTGTTGCAGAGACTGTCTTTTCCCCATTGGGTATTCTTGGCTCCCTTGTTGAATGTTAGTTACTGACTATAAATGCCGTGATTTAATTCAGGGCTCCCGATTCTGTTTCATTGGTCAGTATTGAATTCCTTGTTAACTTTATTCTTGAGCTCACTGAACTGCATTTCTGAATTTTCCTGTAGCTCACTGAATTTCTTCCTAATAGCTGTTGTGAATTCTTTCCGTTAGATTGCAATATTCCCTGTCTTTGGGTTTAGTTGCTGGAAAATTGTCATTTTCTTTTCTTTGTGTGATACTGTACTACCATGATATTTCATAGCGCCTGGCAGAAAGTGCCCCTGCTGCCACACTTGAAGTCTTGGACACCTTCCTTATTTGAACTACTCTTCACTTACTTTGATTCTAATAGTTCAACAGTTTGCTAGTTAGGAGTCTCCTTGTTTTCCAGAAGGTGGTGTTACAGCACAAGTTTTTGGTTTCTCTGCGCTGACTCCAGTAAGGTTGGGAGTGGGCACATTAAAAACAGACACAGAGAAGCAAACGGTGGGGGCAGAGTGGGATGAGGTGTGTCTGTGGCCCTAGGGTGTGCCCACACCTGGTAAGGATGGCGGGGGGATCCCAGAGGTCAGGGGTGGTGCTCTTGCTTCCCAGGACAGACAGCAGGGGACACGCTTCTCCAGGGTTCTTTGTCCAATCCACTACCTCCCGTCCCTTTCCCTCCCCTGGTCGCTGTGGCCCATCCTCAGAGAGCAGCCAGTCCTGGCGACCCCATGAGCCACCTCCACCTTCTGCCGCCTCTGCCAGCAGTTGTGCCCATCTACTGCCCGGTGGACCGTCTCCTCCTCGCCCCGCAGCCTCCTCCGAGGTCCGGTCCATCCACTCTCAAGTGCACATATGAGTGCATCTATCAATGTCCTGGGCTGCTAAGCAGAGGTGCTTTCTCAAAAAAAATTTTTTATATCGGAAGATAATTGCTTTACAATGTTGTGTTAGATTCTGCCACACAATGAGGTGAATCAGCCGTAAGCGTATACAGATTCCCTCCCTCTTAAGCCTCCCTCCCACCCCCCACCCCCCACACCATCCCACCGCTCTAGGTTGTCACAGAGCACCGGGTTGAGCTTCCTGTGTTATCCAGCAACTTCCCACCAGCTGTCGGTTTTACACATGGAACTGTATGTACATCAGTGCTCTTCTCCCAATTCGTCCCACCCTCTCCTTCCCACGCTGTGTCCACAAGTCTGTTCTCTATGTCTGCATTCATGCCCTGAAAATAGTTTCATCAGCACCATTTTCTAGAGCCACATGTATGTATTAATAAATAATATTTGTATTTTTCTTTCTGACTTCACTCTGTATAGCAGACTCTGGGTTCATCCACTTCACTAGAACTGACTCATATTTGTTCCTTTTTATGGCTTAGTAATATTCCATTGTATATTTCTACCACATCTATTTTATCCTTTCATCTGTTGATGGATATCTAGGTTGCTTCTGTGTCCTGGCTACTGTAAATAGTGCTGCAGTGAACATTGCGGTATATGTGTCTTTTTGAATTATGGTTTCCTCAGAGTATATGCCTAGTAGTGAGATTGCTGGGTCATATGGTGGATTTATTACTAGTTTATGAAAGAAATGGCCAAGGCGCTGTTTTCCCAGTTATAGATATCCATGAGCTTCCCAGATAGCTCAGTGGTAAAGACTTAACCTGCCAAAGACTCAATCTGCCAAAGACTCAACCTGTCAATGCAGGAGACATCTCCCCAGTGCAGTTTTCATCTCTGGTTTGGGAAGATGCCCTGGAAGAGGAAATGGCAACCCACTCCTGTGTTCTTGCCTGGAGAAATCCCATGGACAGAGGAACCTGGTGGGCTATGGTCCCTGGGATTACCAAAAGAGTTGGACATGACTGAGCACACACATGGATGTCTGATTAGTTGTAAATAACAGGGAGAGAAAAGAGGAATGATTCGCACCACCTTGATGCTGCCTGAACTTTTTAAAAACCCTGTTTCTGCTTAATGTTAAAAGAGGATATGTTCTGTTTTCCACAGCAAAGGGGGATAATAATTTGAGAGCGGATAGATTAACTTGGACTTCAAACCTTTGTCCTCTTTCTGCTTATACTGTTGAGCGTAACTTCCCTGGTTTGCCCCTCACCTTTCCTTTATGAGCTTTCAATTATAAGCTTCTTTCTTTTTTAAAAATTGAAGGGTAATTGACCTATAGCATTGCTAGTTTCAGAGGCATGACATAGTGATTCGATTTTTCTGTGCATCTGAAAATGATCATCATGATAAATCTAGTTGCCGTCTGTGGCTGTACAAAGCTATTACAGGGTTATTGACTCTGTCCTCCTGGCTGTACACTTCATCCCCGAGAGTCATGCTAGAAGTTTGTAGCTTTTAATCTCTCCCACATATTTCCCTGCTCCCTCCACCTTCCTCCCCTCTGGCAACCTCATGTTTGTTCTCTGTATCTGTAACTGTTTCTGTTTTGTTACGCTTGTTCATTTGCTTTTTCCGATTCCAGATATAAATGAAATCAGTATATTTGTCTTTCTCTTGTCTTTATTTTTATTCAGTTTGACGTACTTCCTGATTTTCCTTTTCATTTCTTTATTTGCCCTACAGTTTAAAAGTGTGTTTTAGTTTTCAAATATGTGGAAATTTTCAAAGAACTTTTCATTATTGATTTCTAATTGTGGTCAGAGAACATGCTTTGTATAATTTCAGCCCTTTTAAAGGAGTTGAGACTTTATAGTATAAATGTGTTTTATCTTGTCGAATGGTCGACCATATGCTTTTGTTGGGTGGACTGTTCTGGAAGTGCCAGCTCTGTCAAGTTGCCTTATGATGATATTCAAATTGCTTCATGGTTGCTTGTTTCACTGTTGAGTTCTCTTTC